AAAGTGTTAAGAAACATGGAGCAGCCGACCTGTAGACCACCGAACGAACCTTTTTGACATTTGTACTGGTTTTCAAAATTCTTCATTTTTTTTATTATTTACGTTTTTTGTATGTAAGAAACATGGAGCAGCCTACCTGCCGACCACCGAACGAACCTTTTGCTATAAGACAAATGAATAATAAATATTGAACACATTTGAAGAAAGGAAAATGTCATAATGGTTTATTCAGTGTATGTAAGATAGGCTTCTCCATTATTGAGACGTAAATGACAAATACAAAACAAATGGAACACATTTGAAACAAAGAAAGAGTGTTATAATGGAGCAGCCTATCTGCCGAACACCGAACGAACCTTTTTGACATTTGTTGTATATCAGACATTTCATTTCTTTTTTCCTACAAAACGTCAATGCTTTGCAACATCTCAGCAGTCACCCTTTTATATCCCAGCATCATTAGCATCTTTAAACAAGAACAACATAATTTATGTGCATCGTCGGAGGCGTCTAAGAATGTGCAAGAAGCAGCGCGACCCCACCATGTGGTGTTGACGTTACTCTAACCAGCGTTCGTCATCAATGGGAAAATGTTCTAAGAAATAAAAATCCTACACAAGGAATAGAAAAACTGACTTCTGAAGCATATGAAGTCTGAAACATGTTCCTTTGAGGAAAGCCAGAAAGAGGTCAAATGTAGAAAAAGAACACAGACGACATTACAAAAGAAGGAAGAAATTAATGGAAATGCTTAAGCAGACATGACTCTCCATACAAAGAAGAAATAATTTAGACAGGGAGATTGAAGAAATCGAACAGAGACTGAAGCATTCCTATCAGACTGAAGAAAGGCAACTAGAACAGAAAGCAATTCAAGAAATAAAGAAAAACCCAAAATATTTCTTCACATATGCTAAATCAAAAGCAAAAACCATTGCCAGTATTAGACCTATTAGTATTAGTGAAGGTTCATAGACTGAGGATGACAAAGAAATTAGTGAAATCCTAAAAAGGCAGTATGAGGACATGTTTAGCACTCCAATAAACAGCATGAGAGTGGAAGATTCGGACAATTTCTTTATGAGTGATATCCAAACACCTGCAAATATAACTGATATCAACACGAGCATATCAGATTTTGAAAGAGAAATTGACAATGTGCCCATGCACTCAGCCCTTGGTCCAGACTCATGGAATTCAATATTTATAAAAAAATGTAAAGTGCCAGTAGCACAGGCACTCAGTATAGTGTAGAGGAAGAGTTTGGACACAGGGAAGATACCAGATGCGCTGAAAGCAGCAGACGTAGCCCCTCTGCACAAGGGAGGTAGCAAAGCATTGGCAAAGAATTATAGACCAGTTGCACTAACATCCCACATAATATAAGTATTTGAGAGAGTGATCAGGAGCTAGGTCACTAGATTCATGGAAACCAATGACCTCTACAATCCAGGCCAACATGAATTTAGAGCAGGAAGATCATGCCTCTCACAGCTACTTGATCATTATGACAAAATCACTGAGGCATTAGAAGAAAAACAGAATGCAGATGTTGTATACATAGACTTTGCAAAGGCATTCGACAAATGTGATTATGGAGTGATTGCACACAAAATGAGGTCAATGGGTATAACTGGTAAAGTAGGATGCTCAATTTCCTGTTGAGCAGAACACAAAGAGTAACAGTCAATCAAGTAAAATCGAGTCCGAGTGCAGTTAAAAGCTCTGTACCTCAAGGTACAGTCCTTGCACCACTGCTGTTCCTTATTCTCATATCAGATATAGATAAAAATACAAGTCACAGCTTTGTGTCATCCTTTGCAGATGATACAAAAATCAGCATGACAATTACCTCTGCTGAAGACATTGAAAAACTACTAACAGACATTAACAAAGTTTTCGATTGGGCAGCAGAAAATAACATGATGTTTAACAATGATAAATTCCAGGTATTCAGATACTGCAAAAATGAGGATCTGAAACATAATACAGGGTACAAAAACACAATCGAATCTGCCTATAGTAGGAAAACAGCATAACAGCATATCAAGGATTTGGGAATAATGATGTCCGAAGACCTAACGTTTAGGGAGCAAGTATTGCGTCAGCCAGAAAAATGATAGGATGGATTACGAGAACCTTCAAGTCCAGAGATCCCATCACAATGGTTGTACTCTTCAAATCACTTGTGTTGTCCCATCTTGAGTACTGCTCAGTACTCACTTCCCCCTTCAGAGCAGGAGAGATTGCTGAAATAGAGGGAATACAGAGAACATATATGGCACGCATAGACGAGATAAAGCACCTAAATTATTGGGATCATCTCAAAGCTCTCCAAATGTGTTCACTAGAAAGGAGACGAGAGAGATAATAAATAATATACACATGGAAAATACTGGAGGGACCGGTCCCAAATCTGCTCAGTAAAATAACAACGTACAGGAGTGAATGATATGGAAGAAAATGCAGAATAGAACCAGTGAAGAGCAGAGGTGCCATAAGCACAATCAGAGAACACTGGATAAACATCAGAGGTCCGCGGTTGTTCAACGTCCTACTAGCGAGCATCAGAAATATTGCCAGAACAACCGTGGACATCTTCAAGAGAAAACTAGATTGTTTTCTTCAAGGAGTGCCAGACCAACCAGGATGTGATGGGTATGTGGGCCTTCGGGCCGCTGCAAGCAACAGTCTAGTGGACCAAATTCTCACAAGTCAAGCCTGGCCTCGGGCCAGGCTTGGGGAGTAGAAGAACTCCCAGAACCCCATCAAGCAGGTATCAAGCAGGTAATGATATTGATGAAGCTAGGCACAATAAGTACTCAACACAAGGTTCTGATACAAGTGACACAGCACCAATGAGGATGATACAGTGAGCATATCCAGTAGTAGCTGAGCAACACCCATGCTCACCTATGTTATCTCCAATTTTTAGAGATGATACTATATATGGATCGTTTTTTGGGTTCAGTGATGATGTGTCTGATACAAGTGGCATGACTAAACAGTGTGTTAGCGGCTTCCATGAATGTGTTTGTGCCAGTGGTGGTGATACCAGTACAAGGAGCACTGGTGAATTCGCGAGGGAGGACTCTGATAATTTTGTAACACAAACCACAATTTGATCATTCTGATGTTGGTGTTGCACCCACTTTCCCATATACAGGTGAAGATATGAGTGATACCAGGACAGAATTTTGTCATTGAGCTTTTCCTAGATTTTTCCAAGAATACATGAATTTTTTCAATCCTACCTTACAAAGTGATCTTTTCAAGAATAGCTAAATCTCTTCCAGAATACCTGAAGCTTTTCCAGAATACCTGATTCTTTTCAATCCTTCCTTACAAAGTTATCTTTTCTAGACTACCTTACAAATTGATCTTTTGCTATAATCTTTTCAAGACTACCTTACACTTCACAAGCTTGGCTACATACCACCTACTGGTACTAAGGCCAAGGGTGTACATGAGTGCATTATTTGCAAGCACACAAAGCAAAGAAATAGGAAGCAAAAATCTGTTTGTACCTAGTGCACCGAGAGCAAAGTTGTGATGTGTACCATGGACTGCTTCTTTGATTATCACTCGCTTCCGAAGTACTGAGTGTCTTACTATATAAATAGTGTGTGAAACTGTACATACAGTATGTATTGTAATTTTAGTACTGTATAAAATATTTTGAACACGTAATATTGCAACAATAAACATTTATTAAGAAAAACATTACATTACTGGCACATTTATCAGTATCACAAAAAATAATGTAAAACATTATTTTACATTACTGACACATGTATCACAGTTCTATGGAACATTATGAATGTTCTACTGTATACATATTGTAAAGGACATAACTGCATCATATACGATAAAAAAAATTATAATACATTGAAAATACATAGAAAAAAAATAATTGTAAATATAATGGTGGCAATTCGAGAGGCTTGAATGGCCCGCGCGACTACGTCTGTAAGCTTTACGCATTGGTGAACAGCCAGTGATGACGTCACACCCCACTTTGTCCATGTTCCCACATCCAAAGTAAGTAGAATTTTATATTTTTTTATTTACATGTACATGTTCAGGGAAGGGAATTTATGATTTTACAAAGAACAAAATTATTTTGGCAAACACTTCATTTTCGGCATACAGGGAGAATTTCACAATAAACGCGGAGCATCACAGTGGTTAAATGTAAAGTGCTCATAGGCATTGCTCCCTGCTACTCTCTGAGAGGACCAGGTTCTGGCTCGTGGTTTCCGGTAGGCATAAGAACTCCTGTGACTGATGACCCCAAACTAATATAGCACCTTTCAATTCAGATAGCTTCAGGAAGCTGACGGGGCTCCCCAGAGAAAACCAGTGTTGAATGAAATAAATGGCCAGTTTCTGGGTTAGGCACAGAGGCTCTCTCTCTCCTTCTCTATGGTTGGCAGTTTCATCATTCAAGATCTGAGAGGTGAGGTGCCTGGCTGACTCGGGCCACCTGCCCCCTTTTTTTTGGGGGGGGGTGGCACTAACCAGTGGGGGGCTAGTTGGACAAAGTGTTGCTTGTTTGATTTGTTTCCTGAGGAGTTATTTTGATCTTTTGAGAACATAGGTTGCATTTCTAACCAAACTGTGGTTTGTTTTGCTTCGCCTATATTTTTGGGTGCCTTTCTTGGTCGATGGCAAGTATAATATACTTTAAATGCAATGTGTTCATAGGCCACTGCTCCCTGTGTCACTCTGAAGGGGGCCAGGTTTTGGTTCTTGTCTTCGGTAGGCAACAAGAACTATGTGACTGATGACCCTAAATAGGATAGCACTATATCAGTGGAATAGCTTCAAGGAGCCTCCAGGGCTTGCCCAGAAACTGGCGTTGCATTACATTCAACGCTGGTTTTTTCATCCTTTATCTGGCTCTTTTTATTTAGATTTTTTTATTCTTAACATTACCATGATTCTCGCTGATTTATTATTTGATAGCTTAGGTCAAAATTGAATCATTTGTTACACAGGTTTGGCATTGTTTTCAAGATAACACAAGAGGAAGGGAACTACTTACTACTTGATACTCAACAAGAAGAGCGCAGTAATTGGATGATTTTTGTGCGGCCTGCAGTGAAAAAAGCAGAACAGAATTTGGTGGCATTCCAGTACAAAGGAGAAATATATTTTGCAACTATTAAAGTAAGGACATAATTATTAACTGTTTCAATATTATTGCTTTATTACTGCAAAACAGATTTATTAAGCTTTCATATTGTTTATTCATTGATGTACTCAGTGCTAATATATTAGGTATTATCCACAGGAAAATTGGTTCATAGACTACAGGTCTATGCAACTCCATTATCCATGTTGCTAAAGACTAGTCAGTTCAGAGCAATATGAGCTTAAAATGCACAACAAATCCTAACATACCCTCTGCAGCACAGTTAAGTTTTTGTCGCCATACTATTGAATGTACATTAATGAATGAAGGCTAACACATCTTCTTTCCTACTTACCTTGTAGGAAACCTACAAGGAACCTCGAAGCAAGGAACTCTGGAACCTTGTGGAGGTTCGGGGAATCAAGGGCTCTGTGGCCCGTTTTCGTCCAGGCCTCTCGGTTGGTCATCTGGTCAACCAGGCTGTTGGACATGGCTGCCTGCCTGCAGCCTGATGTATGCATCGCAGCCTGGTTGATCAGGTATTCTTTGGAGGTGTTTGTTGAATTATCTCTTTAACACTGAGAGGCTGGCCAGTTATGCCCCTTATATGTAGTGAGAGAGTGTTGAAAAGTCTTGGGCCCTTGATGTTGAAAGTGTTCTCCCTCATCATACCTATTGCACCTCCACTTTTCATTGGGGCTATTTTGCACATCCAGCCATACCTACTGGTTTCATGTAATTACTTAAGTATACATAAGTGTAGTTACAGGATGAGAGCTATGCTCGTGGTGTCCCGTCTTTCAAGCACTCTGTCATATAATGCTTTGAAATTACTGACGGTTTTGATGGGTCATAGAAACTGAGTAAATTCGTTGCACAGGATCCTCCAGATCAAAAACCATACTGTCTGTATGTCTTATTATATAGTTTTCTCCAGGTGTTCTACCCATTTAGTTTTAATGATTTTTTTCCCAATATTTTGACTATTACACTTGTCAATGATTCAGGTCTATAATTAAGGGGGTCTTCTCTACTGTCACTTTTGTAGATTGGAACTATGTTAGTCTTATTCCACACATCTGCTAGGACTTCTGTACACTGGGATCTTATCTTGAGGTTATCTTGAGATGATTTCGGGGCTTTTAGTTTCCCCCGCGGTCCTCGACCAGGCCTCCACCCCCAGGAAGCAGCCCGTGACCGCTGACTAACACCCAGGTACCTATTTTACTGCTAGGTAACAGGGGCATAGGGTGAAAGAAACTCTGCCCATTGTTTCTCGCCGGCGCCCGGGATCGAACCCGGGACCACAGGATCACAAGTCCAGTGTGCTGTCCGCTCGGCCGACCGGGATCCCTTAAAAATCAGTTGAAGTTGAATGCTGAGCTTAGGTACACATTCTCTCAGAACCCATGGTGAAACTTCACCTGGGCCAACTGCTTTGTTCTTACTTAGCTCCTTGAGCATTTGTTTCACTTTGTCTCTAGACATCTCTATGTGATCTATGTTGTTCTCTGGAATTCTTATTGTGATTTCTTATTGAATTCTTATTGTTCTCTGAAGATTTCATTTTGTACAAACATACTTTGGAACTTTTTGTTTAATGTTTCACACATTTCCTTTTCATTTTCCATGAATCTGTTTCTCATTTTCAACCTCTGAATATTATCCTTTACCTGCAATTTGTTGGTGAATTTATAGAATAGGCCTTGTTCTGTTTTACATTCGTCCGCTCTCCCTTTCTCAAAAAATATTTCTGCCTCTCTAAACACTGCCGTGTAGTTGTTTCTCACATCATTGTATCGCCGGTATATTTGGGAGTTTGGCCTTTTCCTGCATTGATTCCATTTTTGAATCTTTTGGTCACTGGCCCCCTCGCACTTTTTGTGGAACTAATCCTGTTTCCTAGTTCTACATATCTGCTTTGGTATAAATTTGTTTGAGCCTTTATCATATATTTCACAAAACTTGACATACATTTCATTTACTTCCTTGCCTAACAGCCAATCTTTCCAGTCACATTCCTTAAAGATATTTCTAAGTTCCCCCCATAATGTCCTCTCCTGAAATCAGGTTTTCAACTGCTTTAACTTGCTCATTTTCTTCCAAATTATAGCGCATTGCATTATTTATTCCCAAAAAGACATGGTCACTATTACCCAAGGAAGGAAGGAAGGAAGGAAGGTACTGAATATCAAATATCTTTTCTACTCTTTTGGTAAATATCAAATCCAGTATAGAAGGAACATCTTCCCTCATCCTCGTAGCTTGTTTAACATGTTGATACATGAATGTTGCCAGGATGAGGTTTATGAATCTGCAGGTCCGCCTCCCAGTCTGTGGATTTGAAGTTGAAGTCTCCGATTACTAACAGTTGTGATCTATCTTTATCCGCTCCCATTATAATCTCTTTCATTATTGTTATAAACCCCTCTCATTTATTTTCCAGCTTCTCCTTTGTCCATGTGTTGCATGGCAGTGGACTATATGCATTTATGATTATTAGTTTATCATCCTGATTGCAGATCTCCAGTGCTATTATGCCAACTTCATGTGGATTGGCAATCATCATTTCGCTTACTTTTAAGTGCTTACATGTTACCCTGTAAGCGTAGTTACAGGATGAGAGCTACACTCGTGGTGTCCTGTCTTCTCACCACTCTTTGTCAAATAATGCTTTGAAACTACTGACGGTTTTGGCCTCTAACACCACCTCATTTAGCTTGTTCCAACCATCTGCCACTCTGTTTGCAAAAGAAAATTTTCTAATATATTTGTGGCATCTTTGTTTCCTTAGCTTGAGTCTGTGTCCTCTTGTTCTTGAAGTTCCAGATCTCAGGAATTCTTCCCTATCAGTTTTATTGAGTCTTGTTGCTATTTTGTATGTAGTGATCATATAGCCTCTTTTTCTTCTATCTTCAAGTTTTGGCATATTTAATGCCTCTAATCTCTCCTTGTAGCTCTTGCCCTTCAGTTCTGGAAGCCACTTAGTAGCATGTCTTTGTACCTTTTCAATTTTGTTGATGTGCTTCTTAAGATATGAGCACCATACAACCACTGCATATTCGAGCTTTGGCCTAACGAAAGTCGTAAACAATTTCTTTAGTATTTTGCCATCCATGTATTTAAAAGCAATTCTGAAGTTAGAAAGCGTGGCATAGGCTCCTCGCACAACGTTCTTTATATGGTCCTCAGGTGATAGTTTTCTATCTAGAACCACCCCTACATCTCTTTCTTTATCAGAAGTCTTTAAAGATTTTCCACATAATTTATAGGTTGTGTGGGGTGTATGTTCTCCTATTCCACATTCCATAACATAACATTTATGCACATTAAATTCCATTTGCCAAGTGGTGCTCCATATACTTATTTTGTCCAGGTCTTCTTGAAGGGCATTACAATCATCTAAGTTTCTTATCCTTCCTATTATCTTAGCATCATCAGCAAACATGTTCATATAATTTTGTATTCCATCTGGCTGATCATTTATGTAGACAATGAACATCACCGTTGCAAGAACTGAACCCTGTGATACTCCCCTTGTGACATTTCTCCAGTCCGATACATTGCCTCTGATTACTGCCCTCATTTTTCTATTAGAAATTTTTTCAACCATGTTAGAAGCTTACCTGTCACCCCTCCAATATGTTCCAGTTTCCAGAACAACCTCTTTTGTGTAACTCTGTCAGAAGCCTTTTCTGAGGGGAGCCCCTACATCTCCCTAGAGCTTATCGGGGTAATGTATATTATATTAGACCGGGACATTAGCTATGGAGTTCAGACCTGCCAGGGACCAGTGCCAGACCCTGGCCCCTTCAGAGAGGTTTCAGGGAGCAGTGGCTGGAAAACCCCCTTGTGGTTGGGGTTTTTCCTTATCTGCCATTGACTGGGGTTAGGCACCCAGGAAGGTAAGCATAACAAAACAAACCCTGCGTGGTAAGAAACTAAAACAAAAAAACGAACAGAGAGGTAGAAACTTCCTAAAATTCCAAGGAAACAAGCAAACATCATACTTTACTGCCGCGCTGCTCATCCGCGCAGCCCTCTCCTCCCTGAGAGGGTGAGTGGGGGGGGGCCAGATCTCATCGTGCCAGCTGCCTAGCACTTCAGTTTGTAAGCTAATGTCAACCGGGACAGATGCTTCTCTGGCCTCAATTTCCTAGGTGGTGTTTGCCTTCGTGGCGTTCACTGCCAAGTGTTGTGCGGTGGCCAGGTGTTCCTCATCAGTACTGGGGCTGCATGCGCTTAGGGGATTCCTTCCCTGAGCTCCCTGTGAATACTGCCCCTGCGTGACAGGGTTGTCTTCCCTGGGGCGTTCGGGAACCATTCCCGTAGAGGTTCTTGCTGCTCGGCATTTGCCTCATCCTTCGGGCCAGCTGGGGCTTGGGGCCCTTGTTTAGCCTTGGGTAGGGACTAGTATTGTGCTGGTTAGGGCGTCAAGGTGTTGCACGACCTGCTACCTATGCGGCGACCAGTTCCTGTTGCCTCTGGGGACGGTGTACTTTTGCGGGGTTTTCTTTCGTTTTTATTTTAATTTGCCTAGTGGGGGGGTCTGCCTAGTGTGGCTGTAGTTCCACTGATAGTGTTTGGTGGCCCTCTGCTAGGCCCCCGTGATTGTACACGTCGCAGGGATTTTCAATGTTGCATCTACCCTATGTAAGTTTTGGGTTTTAACCAGTTAGCAACACCTTGCCAGGGCTTCCCGTAGTAGTCAGCCTACGGGCCCTGGAAAACCCCGCTGGGGCTCGGTGGACCACTAGATATGTCTTCCGGGTTCCAACCCGTCTTGTGCTGGTTCATTGGTTGCTGTTCCCTTGTCTCCGGGTGACAGTCGCCACTTTTGCCTCCGTCATGCTGCCAGTTGGATCACTGACACCTTGACCAGGAGTCTTGTGAGTTGTGTTCTCTGCTTGTTCTCCAGTACTCTTCTGATGTCCTTACTGTTCAGAGTACAGGCAGCATCTGCATTGCAAGCTCGGTTTAGGTTGCTGCAACACGCTAGGTTGGTTTCCCACCTGGATGCCCCAGAGTTGCCCTG